CTCATTCAGTCGTTTACAACAAACCTGCTGTGAGTGAATGAAATGCCTTGTGGAGAAGAGCTCTGGTGCTCCTGTTTCAGGAAGTAATCCAAACATCTTGCCTCTGATTGGCCAACAGCAACACGACTCTTCTGCTGCCATCGTTCGCTCTTCTTTCTTGGGTAAACTCAAGCCTGAGTGTGTTCCACCATGCTTAGGAGTTGCTAATGGTTAGCTTCACCTAGCCAAGGTGTGCCCTGCTCTCTCCTTCCTGTGGGTGATCTTAAACCACGGTGGGCGTGGCCATGAACAGCACGGGTGTTTCTCAACGTCAAGACGCCTGGCCTTGCAATGTGATGTCTTGTGAGACAGAAGCCTTGCTTACGAGGACACGGTCCTTCCTTGGTCAAAGAAAACGGTTAAATGGAACAAACTTCAATCATGTGACCGCAGCTTCCACGGCGGTCACGTAATGTCACGTGACACGGGAGATAACGATATATTTTATATGCATAAGTTTCAATATAAATATATAACGAGCCTTTTACTTTTTAAATTGTGTATATGTTTATTACATTAAAAATGTAAGTGAGTTACTAACCGCTAGCCACCGAAGCTGCAACTACTAAGCAACTAACCAACCATAGATAACTTCTTTGGATCTAAAATAACATTTTAAATTAGTTGACTTACTTCTAAACTTGAAAATTGTCCCGAGAAGTAGCTGCCGGCTTCTGATCCACCGTCCTATTGAAAATACCGTGGTGTGTTGTGGGTAATTATTGACCAAGGCTAGGCTACAAGACACCTCCCGTGTATCCTTGCTCAGCTAGCTAAACGGCTATTAAACGGAGAACACACACCTCGGTAGAACATGAACTTTGGAACACGTCGTGGCGGCTCCCGATGACGCATCTCCTAGGCAACCGGGGCGGGGCCAAGACATCAAGGCAAGGTTCCTTGGCATTGAGAAACACCCCACATTTCCCTGTGATGTGGAACGTTTTCCCGTTTCTGTGGCTGATGCAGGTGTCCAGCCTGTTGGGCCGCTCAGAGTAACCGATAACGAAAATAAGAAGTATTACGTTTCTTCTGAGTGATCCAGACCTTTACTTCAAGAAAATGCGGCTCTAAAGTTTCATGAAACCAAAACAAATCAGAAGAGCAACACGCAGCAAATAAACACGAACTGCTTCGTTCGTCTGGCTCAGTTCAGATTTTCACTTTCTACAAAAACATTTAAACAAGCTGCATCAGTTTATGATTTGGTGAAGTGAAGCGTTTTTGCTGACGCCACGTTCAGATTTACGATCCTCCACCCAGCCGGCTGCTGACAACCACATTTAAAAAGGAGAAACCGGAGAGAAAATAAATTAGTAAACCTGTGCGGCTGAAGCTTCTCACCATGGCAGCGGCGTAAATATGCTAACAGAAGAGAAAATGAGGTCCTTTTGGGGGCCAAGGAGGCTTTCTTCCATCTGCCTGAACAACACAATGCTGCTGTCCTGCTTTATCACAACCAATTTACCACCTGCGCCGTTATCATGTGGCCTACATGGCTGTAAAACGGGGACAAATAAACAGATTCTCTCCTCTGGGCAGTGGAATGGAAAGTTGTTCAGCCACAGATGCAGAAATGATGACTCGATGAAGGCAGCTTTCAAAGGCATGTAGATGAACAGAACCCTACATTCAGGTGGGTTCACGTGGAAGCACAGCCGTCAAACCCAGCCGGGAAAACGGTTCTGTGAGCAAGAAAACAACGGCACGAAGAACCACAGAGGCCACACTTTTCAGCAGGAGGCAGAACAGGAGACTCACGAGGAATTCATTAAAACTCTAGCATGAACCCATCAGCTTTCAGGCACCTGAAGGCAGCGCATGATTTAGTCTGACAGATGGAAGAAAAATGCTTCATTTTCCCGTCGCCAAAAGAGACAAAAGCAGAAAATGGCTGACGTGTCACCTGAAAGTCTGATCCTCCACGGCGAAGAGGTTGCTGAAATATCGCCACTGAAGGAAAAAACAGCTGCTCTGAAATGATTAACCATAATTAACACAGCTTCATGTGAGAAAATGCAATAAGCAGGGCTACAAAGCCACACGCTTGGAATCTGAAAATCTAAAAATCATCTGATTTTAAATGAAAAATGTGGCTTCTGTTGCAATTTCTGTACTTAGAGAAAATGTAAAATCCTGAGATGCACCAAGCGCTCACAGAAACGATGCAGCAAAAACTATTCTCTAAAGGTTTTGGTCACATTGTTCTTTACAAACACAACTACAGTTGTGATGTTTTAAAGGAAAAAATGGGATTTTAAACTGGTTTCAGTGGTTCTAGAGGCAGAAACTTACAACACTCTGCTGCCCAGAAGCTGGGTAGGAACAGTATTGGGAGTTGTTTCCTCTGCTGGTAGCTGATATAAAGGCTAGCAAGGGCCAGATTAACACTTTGTTGTACCCTGGGCAACAATATTAAACGGCCCCATCATCACGACCCAAGGATCACCATATTATGGTCACATACAGAATATTTTACTGTAATATGCAGTAAATATACTCAATACTTGAATGCCTGACATCACGTAACCTGCTCAGGGTAACCTTTGACCCACCTCGTGTGGACTGACCAATGAGGTCTTAACTTGAGGCCCTCTCTTCACTGGTCAGTCTGCATGAGACTGACTCTCAACTGATGTTCAGAGTCATAGGCAGCGAAGCGTCTCTGTGCAGCGCAAAAGCCCGGGTGGACAGTTTGTTTAATACAGGGTGATCATATTTCCATTTCCAAACAAGAGGACAGGGGATCTGTGCCTATGACATCACACTACGGCAATGCCACACAATCCACGTTGGGACCCATTTTTTGTAAGAACTAAATTAATATCAGATTCTGCCAATAAAAGGGCTGAAAAACAATTCATTTGTAAATATTTAGCATATTTACTGCAAAATCTCATTTTTCTGCTTTAGTGCTGCAACAAGGTTTTATTAATAATAAATTATTATACCTTTTGTTTTACTACAGCATCGGTACGCTTCCTGTGCACAGATTATTAAGGATGCTTGTTTCAGCTGTGAGATTAGACGATAGGATCCATGAAAAGATAAGTTGTCACACACTCCATGGAAACTATAAGAGAATCCACAAATAGTGGCTTTCAAATGATTGTGTTACTTTTAGCAAGTTTAGAAAAGCAGCAGATGAGACAGCATGTCTGATAATTTAGTTTTTCATCTGATAATATTAGAACATGTCAGTAATGTCTGAGGGGCTTTTATAAACACCGTATAACTAACACTACTGGAGAGGGTATGGATTACACAGAGGCTTCTGGGGGAGCCCAGTTGGGGGGTGGGGATGTTCTGTTTTGCCTTGGCCACGAAAATGTCTTGAAACGGCCCTGGGTGTGTGACTGAGTGTTGAAGGTGATCTGAATCGTATCAGATGTATAATTATTACATGTGTATAACTTATTGTTTTATACAGGTAAAAACGTGTAGTGGCGATAAATCTACCTACATTTTGTTTTCTTATTTTTATTGAACCATTTTCCTGTCCTGTCTGTCTCTCATCTTCCTGCATCTCCTCTAAAGTCTCCAGAAAAACTGCTGCCTGGATTTTTACTTTTTCACCTCATCAGTTACTTTTGAGCAGATCAAAGGGATCTCCTGACCGCAAAGCGGAGAGCGCGTTTCGATGCGTCAGTGAGGTGAAATCACCGCAGCACAGGTGATGAGCTCCGCAGTAGCAGAGCGCTTCAGGCACAAATAAGACACAAAGTAGAGAACATGTGCGGACATGAACGATCGTGTGTTAATTATAGTTTTTTGGTTGCGCCACTTTGAGAATGGACCGTGAGCTGGAAGCAGCAGCCTGGAGCGCACCAACGAACAGTGCTCTGCCGCTCTCTGTGCTCTCCGCTCAAACGAACCCCCGTACGCTGAGAGTCCATAAATGATGTAATATAGGTAGAAACCTTTTTTCCGGCTCCCCTGCATGTGTAGGATATCCAGCTCCCCCATGATTCGATCCCTGCTCCTGGATGAAAAACCGGACATTGTCATCAATACAAGAACCGCCCCGGACGCCCGGACAGAGAGTGAAAAGTGGACATGACCGGGGAAAGGAGGACGTATGGTCACCCCAGAAAGCGGGAGATTACAGATACAGTATTTTGCTCGCGCCCTTGCTGCCCTGGGGCTGGGCCCTTTAGAGTTCGTGGGCCCCTGGGCAATTGCCCAGTTGCCCATATGGTTAATCTGGCCTTGAGGCTAGCAGTTAACTTTCAGTTCGCAGACCGTCAACAAAAAACACAAGAAGAACATCGTAATTCCATTTTAAACCAGTAGGAGGGAGAAGAAATGAAACTTATTTAATGTTGAATTAAAGAGTCAATACAAGCAAAGAGGCAGAATGAAAGCAAAACACACTGGCAGCATGCAATCACAGTTTTTCCAAGCATCAAATAATTCACTTTAGCTAAACTGTGTTAGAGAAAACGTAAATAACATTATTCTGAAGAAATCATCGGAGGTGTTTTATTAAAATGTAGACAGAGCTGCTCGAAATCCACAACAGTTCATCCTTAAACTTATTAAAAAATGAAATGTTTCATAAAAGCAAACAGCTGAATCTTTTTATTTCTATTTCTGGGGTTTGTTAAATCCAGATTATCATGATAATTTAACCAGAATCATATTCCTTGCTGTTCAACACGATAAGAGCCTTAGATGGATTTCTTAAACTTCTGTAAAACTGAATAAATCATTGTTTTCTCGGAAAAACGAGGCTGAACTTTTGAAGTTACAGAGTTCTCCTGGAGCTGGAGAACAACGTCTTCTCAAACTCGTTCCTTACTGCTGCTGCACTCCTCCATACATATCTGCTTCTAATTGACGAGAAAGCGCCCAAAAGCAGCCATTCTTGTTGCTTTTGTGGATCTCAGGCCCCCCACCCCAGCCCCCACCCCCGATCACCTCTGTTCCCTCTGGAAGCAGCTAAAGCGCATTTCCTCCAAGATAATAAGAGCAATTCAATAAATTGTGGAATATGAGAGCCCGGCTGCTGCTGAAAGGATCATTTTTCCTCTTGCTCCCATTTTAACGTCACCTCTGTCTGCAGCTTTAACACAGCTTCAGTTACACTTTGTTTGGATCAGTCAGCAGCTTTTTAACCTCATCAGCTGATTCAATCAGTTCACGGCTCAGACTTCTGTAAAAATAAAACTTGAAAAATGATAGTAAGGAAAATCAGAAACGTGTTTCAAGCGTTTTAAAACACTCCTTGTCTGTGTTTGTATTTATAACACGTCTCAATTACTAAGAATATTTTTTCTACTATTTTATGGTCCAATTTTATTTAAATGCTTTTTTTCTTTAGATTTATTCTCCTGTCCTGATATTAAAATAAAAAAATGAAGAATTAAATTCAACATGTTTGTTACGTGTTAAATAAAACCACATATTTCTTGAGAGTTCGTGAAAAAGCATTACGTTCTTAACATGTTTTTTACAGAATTTGATGTGTTGTAATCTTAATAGATCAAAATAAAATAAATGATTCATACAATAATATCAATAAAATATAAACAGAATTATTCATAAATATCAGCTAGAATTAGAAAGTTTAGAAAAAAAATTGTTTTCACTTAATATTTACAGTGAAAACATTTACCATAGAAACATATATTTCAACAGGGCTGCACAATATATCGCAAATATATCGTTATCGCGATGTCAGCATCACAATATGCATATCGCAAAGAACAGATGAATAGCGTAATGAATGGTCAGCTCAAAAGTTTGCTACACATGATGCATTCTGTCAATCAGACGGATGAATGATGTTTTTTTAACAAGTCAAATAAGCTATTTGGCCAATTGGATGGGTTCTCATAGGTCAGATGCCCGCCCCCGAGGCAGACGGCACTTACTTGTGATGGTTAGCAAACACCTGAGTTAGCTTTGTTCTGCTCTTTCTGCTTTTCCCGGGATCCTCTGATCGCCTTTTCTTGTTCTTTTTCCCTTTCCACACATCTTTTGCTTTTCTCATTTTTATGATTTTTTTTGTCATTTTTTAATTTTCTGTTTTTGATTATTTTTGTTCCTGAGTTAAGTTTTTATATATCGGAAGTAATATCGTCAACACAATATTAATCACTGTTATCGCATATTGCAAGTTGTCCTAATATCGTGCAGCCCTATATTTAAAACACTCATAAAATAATTCACAATAATAAAAAAGCAAACCCTCATCAGGGCTCAGATGAAATGTTCAGTGGATTGTGGGCTTCAAACTGAACTTCCCTCAGAAGCAGCAGGAAAGACTCGTCGCTCACTGACGGCATGAAAAATCCCCGGAGCTCCGCGGGAACAGCTTCAGCAGCGAAGCCTTTTACTGCAGCCTTTCCTCCAGAGTTTCTGCTGCTCTCTGTGAAGCTTTGGTCCTATTTAGTCTCATATTCTGGTTTCACGTCCTCATTCAGCAGCATCGACTCAACCCAACAGCAGAGAAACCAAACCTTTAGACTTTCTCTGCTGCTCTCTTCAATTAACAAGCTTTTGTCCTCGTTGTGTAGCCGTAGTTTCCTGTAGTTGAAGCTTGTTGAATTAGGTGTTACGGTGTTTAACAACTGCAGAAAAGGAGAAGGGATGACGAGAGGGGAGCAGGATAGGGAACGTGGTGGAGTTTGATAAAGTTAACAGGAACCAGCGGGTGGTCCTGGATTAGACTAAGTTTTGGTTGGAAGCACCTATTTTACAAAATTAACGATTCATCATTCCCATGTGAAATACTATCCTAGCAACACAACTTATACAAGTGAATATAAAGTCTGGTTAGGACCCAAAGACATAAGGCGGGATCTACGGTTGTGTTTCATACTGTCTCCACACGCTACTGGATAACGGATGAGGTGACGTGCTCACCGCTACAGATGTCCGTCAACAGGAAATCCTCCGTAATCTGTTGAAGAAGACACAAATACATCCTCTTTCTAAATAAAGGACTTAAGGACCTCTATAAGCTCTCAAAATGTCTAAATAGTCCAAAGTTGATGCCAAAGCCATTTTCAAACGATCCTCACCATCCATGCTTATTCCCACCGAACCAACCGAGGACAGTGATTGGCTAGACACAAGACTGGCGGGGTCTGCCGAGGCGCTAACGGAGCGTGGCTAGACCAACCTGCAAAGTAAAATCCTTTAGCTTCAGCTTCTGTCGGTCTAGATTTCTAGTTAAACACTCAATGATTATGAATGTTTGATATTTTTCTTTGGAGCTGCTAAAACTTGCTAGGGCCCTGCAGGTAAAGCTCTCATTAACCCATTAACCTTCTCAGTGGCCTAGTGGTGGAACGTCCACCCTGGGACTGGGAGATCGGGGTTCAAATCCCGGCCAGATCATTCCAAAGACGTCAAAAATGGGACCCAACGCCTCCCTGCTTGATGCTCAGCTTTAAGAGGTTGGATTGGGGGTGAAACGACCAAAAGGCTCCCAAGAGCAGCCGCAGCTGCAGCTCCCCACAGGGATGGGTCACATGTGGAGACCAGTGAGTGATGACCAATGGGACTTCTGATGGACCTCTGTCTCCACGCAGATGTTGTTTTCCACCCTTTCTTGCCATCTGAACCCGCAGACCGCACCTTTACAACTCAAATCATTTCTGATTTTGAGTTTTTTTAAAGGCTCAAAACACTGAAATATTCATGAAGTGAGAATGAAAACGTGCAGACAGGAAACCTCAGAAAACACCAAATATTCTCTTTGTCATTGTTTGGAAAGAGAAACCTGGAATGTTTATTTTTCTTTTACTTTACCAGGATTTTATTTTCACATCTGGAAAGTTTTCCCTTCTTTTTTTAAAGTTGGGTGTTGAATCTGAAAAGGAAAAAGCTGCCGTAAACACAGCTCTCCCCCGGGTCTGACGTACGAACATCGTGAGAGGGATGGCAAACAGGAAGAGAACGACTGAGAGTGAAAGCTAAGAAAAGGAAAAAGAGAAGGGGAGAATATGAAGAGGCAGGTCTTCTGGAGGGGGAAGGATGGACGTCCCCGTGGTCAGGATGAGACAACTCCACTGATGTCCAGAGTTTTAAACAGGAAAACACACGGAGGTAAAACACAAAACACAGGACACATCAGATTTATGTTATGTGTATCTGATCTAACTGAACTGTAACAAGTGAGAATATGTCAGAACTTCATTTTCTCAACTATAACCTACCTCCTTTTATTCCAGGATAATAAAACTTTCTACATATCATAAACATTAACCCTCCAACTTGAGGCTTTTAGGACATGAAGGCCTAATCTGGACCAGCTACACTCAACAGAGCTCTTGTCTATGGGTCGTGGTCAGAACTGGTCAGAGGCCTGATGGGATACGTAGTCCAGGCGCGCAAATAGGGTGGGGGACGGGGGGGATCTGTCCCCCCCAGATTCAGATCGACCCCTATTCGTCCCCCCCAACTAAGGCCAGAAAGTAGGGATGCACCGATGGATCGGCATTTGATCGTAATCGGCCGATAGCGCCCCTATCGGTTTTGATAGGAGTTTTCAAAATAGATCAAAGCAGACCGATCAGGTAGGGTTGTCACGGTAACCAGTGACAAACCCCGGTAAAAAAAAAAAAGTTGACAATAATAATAACCGTCTTGTTTAAAAAAAACTATATTATCTTGGTGGGTTTACCATGGCTGCGGTGTAGGCGCGGTGGCCCTTACCAGCCACCGTATCATCTGCTGAAGTTGCAGGACCGGCGGGACATGCGCGCTTTGCTGTTTACAACCAAAACTTTCTTGAAGCTAAAGCTGAAATAATGGTCAAAGGAGGAGACGGCAGCGCTCAGGAGGACATTTTTTATCCCTCAAAGAAGACAAAGTCGGAAGTACGGGCATCTTTTAGATATTTGAAGAATGCTGAGGAAGTTTATAGAAGACGGACGGCTATCCTGTTTGCAGCACGTGCAGAAAAACTGTCTGTGAAAGGCAGCAACGCTTCAAATCTCATGACACATCTGCGTGACCATCACCCACAACTCTACAGTCAACGCAAGTCCTTGTACTGGTCGTCGTACTGGAGGTCCTTGTACTGGTCGTCGTACTGGAGGTCCTCGTACTGGTCCTCATATTGGTTGTCGTACTGGAGGTCCTTGTACTGGTCCTTGTACTGGTCCTCGTACTGGTTATCATACTGGTCCTTGTACTGGTCCTCGAGCTGGTCCTCGAGCTGTTCCTTGTACGGGTCCTTGAACTGGTTCTTGTACTGGAGGTCCTCGTACTGGTCCTTGTACTGGTCCTCGTACTAGCTGTTGTACTGGTCCTCGTACTGGTCGTCATACTGGAGGTCCTCGTACTGGTCCTTGTACTGGTTCTTGTACTGGAGGTCCTCGTACTGGAGGTCCTCATACTGGTCCTTGTACTAGTTCTTGTACTGGAGGTCCTCGTACTGGAGGTTCTCGTACTGGAGGTCCTCGTACTGGTCCTTGTACTGGAGGTCCTCGAACTAGAGGTCCTCGTACTGGTCCCTCTACTGGAGGTCCTCATACTGGTCCTTGTACTGGAGGTCCTCGTACTGGTCCTTGTACTGGAGGTCCTCGCACTGGTCCTTGTACTGGAAGTCCTCGTACTGGTCCTTGTACTGGTCCTCGTACTGGTCCTTGTACTGCTTCTTGTACTGGAGGTCCTCGAACTGGAGGTCCTCATACTGGTCCTGGTACTGGTCCTCGTACTGGTCCTTGTACTGGTCCTGGTACTGGTCCTTGTACTGGTCCTCGTACGGGTCCTTGTACTGGTCGTCGTACTGGAGATCCTCGTACTGGTCCTTGTACTGGTTATTTTACTGGAGGTCCTCGTACTGGTCCTTGTACTGGTTCTTGTACTGGTCCTCGTACTGAAGGTCCTGGTACTGGAGGTCCTCGTACTGGTCCCTGTACTGGTCCTTGTACTGGTCCTCGCACTGGTCATCGTACTGGTCCTCATACTGGTCGTCGTACTGGAGGTCCTCGTACTGGTCCTTGTATTGGTCCTCGTACTGATCGTCATACTCGTCCTCGTACTGGTCGTCGTACTGGAGGTTCTCGTACTGGTCCTTGTACTGGTTCTTGTACTGGAGGTCCTCATACTGGAGGTCCTCGTACTGGTTCTTGTACTGGAGGTCCTCGTACTGGTCCTTGTACTGGAGGTCCTCGAACTGGAGGTCCTTGTACTGATCCTTGTACTGGAGGTCCTCGTACTGGTCCTTGTACTGGTTCTGGTACTGGTCCTTGTACTGGAGGTCCTGATACTAGTCCTTGTACTGGTCCTCGTACTAGTGGTCCTCGTACTGGTCCTTTTACTGGAGGTCTTCATACTGGAGGTCCTCGTACAGGTCCTTTTACTGGAGGTTCTCGCACTGGTCCTTGTACTAAAGGTCCTCGTACAGGACCTTGTACTGGTCCTGGTACTGGTCCTTGTACTGGAGGTCCTCATACAGGTCCTTGTACTGGTCCTTGTACTGGAGGTCCTTGTCTTGGAGGTCCTCGTACTGGTCCTTGTACTGGAGGTCCTCATAAAGGTCCTTGTACAGGTCCTTGTACTGGAGGTCCTCATACAGGTCCTTGTACTGGTCCTTGTACTGGAGGTCCTTGTCTTGGAGGTCCTCGTACTGGTCCTTGTACTGGAGGTCCTCATAAAGGTCCTTGTACAGGTCCTTGTACTGGAGGTCCTGGTACTGGAAAACAAAGTTCCAGTGCACCTGTTTCAGCACGGAGAATTCAGCTGGAGGAGAGACTAGCTTCAGACAACAAGTGTGTGTTATGTGACCCTTGCTCCTGCTCCCACAGTTTAAAACCAACACGTTCTCACACCCTAAGCGTCGAAAAATGACACGGTGTGACCAAGCGTCAAAATAGGACGCGCAGGGTGCCCAGAGCATCAGGAGAGGACGCGCAGGGACACGCACTGTACCACAGCGTTCGTATCTGACGCCCGCGGTGAGACGGACATTTAACCAACATTTCACCTCTAACCTCTCACGATTTAACCTTCCCCTCACCCCCATCCTAACCTTAACCCAGTATGTCTGTGTGGATTTTCAATTAAACGTGTTTGAGAGTAACGATGGAACGCGAAACAAAGCTTTGCATGCGCAAGCTGGTGAAGGTTAGGATGGTGGTGAGGGGAAGGTTAAATAGCAAGAGGGTAAAGGTCACAAATCAGTCAAATGTCGGTCTCACCGTGGGAGTTGGATACCAACACTCTGGCACAGCGCGTCCTCTCCCGACGCGCTGGGGCACCCTGCGCATCATATTTGGCACTTGGTCACACCCAGTGGCGGCGCCAGGGGGGCGCTATAGCTACCCCTGGATTAGTCATTGCACCCCCATAGCACCCCTAAGTAAATATTAGATTTTTTTTTTTACAATTAAATTTTAATTTAACGTGTGGATGTGATAATATTTAACATACAAAACAAAAATAATCAGTAAATTATCATATAGATAGTAAAAACTTAAACCAAAACAGGAAATTGATGTTAACCTTTGACCTCATTTTCCACCTGTGAACGAGTGAAAGGTAGAGCTAGTGGTAAGATGGATCGGTTTTTCTTGCCCACATTTCCACGGGTTCAGTCAGAAATGAATGAATCTTTGGAAGTGATCTCAGACCCACAAAAACCTACGGATCTGGATGAAGAGAGTCAACCCTCAACCGCCGCAGCAGTCGAGGGTTTTGCCATTGGAAATGCTAACACTAACGTTAGCTAACCTTGCAACACTATAGATGGTTTTCTGTGTGGCTGTATGTGTTTATGATTTCATGGAAAAGTCAGCGATTGTTCATATGTTTATGATGTATATTAGTGATTGTTTCAGGTGTTGTTGAGGTGTTGTGCACGCATGTGTATCTGCTAGTGTTGAAGGTGTTTTAGAGAACAATAGGTCCACTTCCTTCATAGCACCCTCAATAAAAAGACCAGCTCCTTCATAGCACCTGCAGAAAAACATTTCTGGAGCCACCGCTGGTCACACCACGTCATTTTTCGACGCTTAGGGTGTGCGAACGTGTTGTTAAAACACCATGTGACCTTCAGGAAGCTGCAGGAGAAGACAACTATCTGAAGATGTTTTCACCATCATCATTTTTGCTGTATTTAGGAGTCGGAACTGAAATCTGAATAATCCCACAGCCCACGTTAGACAAAACTTCTGTTTGAGGTTTTCTTCACACCTCTTCAGTCTTCCTCACATGTGCTGATTATCAGCTCATCAGTACCTCTCACCTGGTGCACAGAACCAAAGCATTCAACGGTTAAGTGAGCAGAAGAAGAGAAGGTCTTTGTAACGTGAGTGTGTGTGTGTGTGTGTGTGTGTGTGTGTGTGTGTGTGTGTGTGTGTGTGTGTGTGTGTGTGTGAAGCAGAGCAGCAGCTGATGATTGTTTATCTTCTCTGAGTGAGGGATCATGTGAGAAGTTAAAAGATTTGGCCGGAGCGGAGAGAGGAAATGACATTGGCGCTGGGTTAAAGACAACAGCGATACACAGTCAAAAGAAAACACACACACACACACACACACACACACACACACACACACACACACACACACACACTTAGACTAACCCTAAACTAACAGCTCTGAAACTTTCCTTAGACTGATTCAGTTCTGACAAAGGAAGAAGGTCTGGGTGGTACAGTTTATTAATCTGATGTAATCTGGGGTGTTGGGAAGTTAAACTGAGATTGAAAACAGTTCAAAGCCCTCATCACTAAAGCTCAACTTCCTCTCTAGGGACAGAAACTGGATGAGGCCAGAACAGTCCCATAACCAGATGCTGAAAGAACAAAAGGAGGTCATTTAGTGAAAACTAACGAGTCTCTAGGAGCTAAAGCCCTGAGTGTCTCAAGGAAAAAACAAGATTTCCGTAGAAAGAATATTTCACCTGAATCGTCAGCTAACTGGTTCTGGTCTTTGTCTGAGTCTGTGTTTCTGAGCGACTAACATGTAGTAGAACACTCTAGGAACAACCTCAGTTGGCTCCTTTAGTTCCTGCTAAAGCTAAGCTGATGGTTCTGGCCAAAACCAAAACTAGAAAAGGTTGTTCCACTTCACATTCTGAATTTTCCTTCTAAGCTGCAGAAACACAAGACACTGAACAGACTTGTTCAAACCCTGGAGACAGGATAAACAAGCTAGATGGACAGCATCATAGATGATAAGACATGAATACATTTTAGGTTCTTAGAGGAGTTTAAGAACATTTCTGGACCTCCAACCAAATGGAGATGGTGGTTTTCCCAAAACCGTTCGTTTATTTGGCAAAACATCTTCCCATCATTTTCTAACTTTAAATAAACATCAGAGGTGAGTGAAAAGGTCCTAAAAAGCAAATCCTGTTGGTTTTAAAGGAGCAGTAAGTACAAACAGTGTGATGTCTCAATCATGTTGGAAGGAAGGTTACACTGAAACAGATTTCAGCCAACTGGGGGGTTGTCAGGCTTCTCCTTCTAAAATGGTCAAAGAGGGACGGAGCTACTGTTTTCAAAATGTGACTCCACGAGGTTGAAGAGTCCGATCCGAGCTAACGCTGCAGCACCAGCATCTGTAATTCAACACCGACAGGCAAAAGACTCCTGAGTTGTTTGAAAAACCAAAGCCAGAAAACAGGAGCAACCCAGAAGTTAACATCAGGAGAAGTAGTGGAGAGGCTAACAATGCTAACGGTGAATTAGAAGAAAATAGTGGGCTCTAAAAATATCTCAAGCAACTTTTTCATTTATCAACAACCTGATATTACGGTGAAATGTATGAGTGAAGAGATTAATGAGTCAATGGAGCTATTTAACTTCCTATAATGAGTCGTTCTGAACTGTAACGGCAAGTCCACAAACAAAAACACGTAGACGTCTCCCTAGTGAGGCTTTCTGACGTCCAACCGGGAGAAGGCCTAAAGGAAGACCCAGGACACGCTGGCGGGACTACGTCTCTCAGCTGGCCAGGGAACGCCTTACGCCGGTTTCACACTGGAAGCATCGGCGGCGCGAAACGGCCGCAGAACGATTTACTCGCGAACTTCAAAGCAGCCTTTTTCACACCGGGAGAGTCTTAGCAGCGGCACGGCTTCCTCGCTGTGGTCTTCGCTGGACTCGTGGGATTACAAGATCCCTCGAGACTTCAGGTCATGGTTTGTTTATGCAAATTAAACCAAAAAGAAAGAAATCACGTTTGATATCGCTGTTTGATGTCATAGATGACGTTCCTCTCCACCGCCAGGATTAAAGCCATGAAAATCACACCGCTGCACTTCTGGAACGATGCTGGGAATGGACAAGCCGTTGGGTCACACGTAAGTGTCATATATATGAAATAGCGTCGCTGTAGTACTTTTACTTAGAAATTTAACTGTGATTTTACTGAAACCGTGTGTGATTTCCTGTCTAGCCCTATGTTAACTGTGGAAATTGGCGCATCCCTGAAGCGGCTCGTGGCAAAAATAGAACCCGGTTCTATCTTTAGCAGCGAAACAGTCCATAGACTATAATGGATTCTATTTGAAGCTGTGACGTTCCGCCGCCATTCCACGCTGCTGATGCTGCAGTGTGAAACCGGGGTTTGGGATTCCCCCGGAAGAGCTGGACCAAGTGGCTGGGACCTGGGAGGTCTAGGCATCTCTGCTTAGGCTACTGCCCCCGCGATCAGACCCCGGATAAGCGTCCGAAAATGGATGGATGGATATTACCGTAATAAGTGTAGTAAGTGCTCCCTGCTGTAAAATACCCAACAGTGTAGGGCTGCACGATATGAGGAAAACCTGTGATATTCAATAACAATGATTAATATTGTGATGACGATATTACTTGCGATAAATAAAAACTTAACTCAGGAACAAAAATAATCAAAAACAAAGAAATAAAACAATTACAATAAAAATCATAAAAATGAGAAAAGCAAAAGATGCGAGGAACGGGAAAAAGAAAATGAACAAGAAGAGGTAATCAGTGGATCCCGGGAAAAGTAGAATCAGCAGAAAGAGCAGAACAAAGCTAACTCAAGTGTTTGCTAAACATCAAAATTAAGTGTCGACCGCCTTGGGGGCGGGCATCTAACCTATGATAATCCACCCAATTGGCCAAATGGGTGAAGAGCTCCATTTGATTTGTTAAAAAACATCATGCTTCCGTTTGATTGACAGAATCCATCATGTGTAGCAAACATTTGAGCTGTCCATTCATTACGATATTTATCTGTTCTTTGCGATATGCATATTGCACATGCTGATATCGCGATAACGATATATTTGCGATATATTGTGCAGCCCTACAAGAGTGCCATCAACAGACATGACAATATATTTATCTACTTATCAAGGTAGCAAGTATGACTCATTTGCACTCATCTAGAATCTTCAGGTTCTGATTCTTAACTGGCAACCACCACGAAACTCACAAGACGAGTGAGACAGTCACCTTTTTTTTTTAGAAAAATAGGCCGAAGTTTCCATATTTGACCACATGATATCAGTCTGACATCATTATTACATAAGGCGCCTTTAACCATGGATTA